GACAATTGGGAGCTGATGCACAGGTATGGGGGTTTCTGGCTTCTCTTGAAAAATCAGAACGTCTAGCTGCAGGGAGCTGGCACTCCAGGCAGGAAGGATCTGCTTAACTGAGCAGCTGTCCCCTCAGGACCCCTCCTCCTGGGCCAGGCCACTACCACGCCTTCCTACCAGGCACCTGGTGCCATCTGATCCCTTCCCCCTCCTCTGGCCTCGGTAATCACGGGGCTTGTTTTCCATCTCACAATCCACAATCCAGGCCCCATTATCTCGACCTCACAGAGGGTGAAGCAGAGGCCCTGAGGTCGCAGGTTAGTTCAAGATCACAAGAGCTCCGGCTGTGGCTGCGCGGCCCCCAAACCCTTTACCTACCTGGCACCAATGCCTGGGGGAGGCCAGAGCAGCCGGAGGAGGAACAGGTGCCCCAACTAGCCTGACCCCGCTTCCTCCTGCCACACGTCCCCAGCACTCACCATCTGCAGCTGCACCCGCTCCTGGGCCTGGCTCACGGTCCCCTGCAGGGTCCGAAGCAGCTGCTCTGAGTTCTGGACCTGGGCCAGGAGCACCTGCATCTGGGGGTGGAAGGAGGACATCCGTGAGGTCAGGGCCACCTGGGGGGCAGCAGGTGGCCAGAGGCCCTCTGAGGGCAACAGCAGAGGCTGGGACCCACCTGCTTGGCGCAGTCCTCGGTGCTCCTTCTCAGGCCCTCCTGCAGTTCATCCCGCTCGCGGCTGACGCTCTCCAAGTCCTTCTGCAGTTGCCGGCCCTGCCAGAGACCCAGACCTGTCTCAGTCTCCAAGGGAGGCCATCCCTCTCCTGCAGGCTCCGTGCCATCGTCCCCTGGCCCCCTCAGCCAGATGCTCAGGGACGCTGCGTCCACCCTGGCAGGCCCCACCCACTCTTCCTGTCTCTGCTGCCATCTCCTGGTCCAGTCACTGCCTTCTCCTAAGCCACAGTTCCAACCGGTCCTGGTCATCCAGCTGCTCCCCAGCCCCCCACAGCCCACCCCGACACACAGGCCTCTCCCTGGCTGGGCCGCGGCGCTTCCTCCTGGCCTGTCTGAAGTGCGGGCTCTGAAGGACAGCCCCTGCCTCCTCCTGACCTCTCTCCTGGAGGCCTTCCTGCACCCCCCCTGCCCCTGAAAACTGCCGCTTTGCCACCATCTGGGTCTCAGGTCCCACGCTGACAGTCTCTGCCCCAGGCCCTCTTCAGTTGTGTCCTGGGCGACTCGCCCTGTGACCTTATCCACTCTGTGTGTCCGCGTGTGCTGGTGTCTGACTCCCGCCCTCTAGGGACGGTGTCTCCTTCCTCATGGCGTCCCCCACTCTAGCTCTAGCT